AAAAAAACAAAACAAAAAACACACAAACAAAAAAAACTGGTACCTACTAATGTTCATGTTATATATAGTAATGCACTTGGTATCAAAGTGAAAATACACTAAAAAAAACCAAAGATGTATCCAATTCATGTAATGCTACGCACAAAATTTGAGGTAAATGACATGAAACCATTATATTCTGAAAAATGAAATGCTAGTATTTGCCCAAAAAAGACCCAGGAAGAGAAAAAAAAAAAGTGGGGGGGGCCTACCGAAATAACAGAAATTGTTGTATACAATACAAGCTTCACATATTTACAGTAATTACGAAAAGGAATGTACATTTGGGGCTGTAGGAAAAAGGAAGCAATCAAGTTCCCAACCTCTTAACACCACATTCTGAGCAGAACTTGGAGGTCTCTCTCAAATAGGNATGTGCAATGGTCACTATCCAATGTGAACCGAGTTGGGATCGCAATTGCACTGAGTAAAGACATAATGGGTACGGGACTTGGTTATGAAAAAATTTGCAAGTATGATAATCCAATACGAAACAATTGCAATTTGTGCTATATTTGGTACGGTAAAAAAAAATGAAAAAATAGAAAATTAGTGAGTATAAATAAAATATTATGTTTGGTAAGAAAAAAATATAGAAATGATAAAAAAGTACAAAGTGTGTTTAGTATGGTGGATGAAAAATGGGAGTAATACATTTTTTATCATTCAAATTAGAAATTATTCCTTCCCTCCTTTGTGTTTGATAGAAGAAATATAAAGTAGAAAATATTAATTTTTTCGTCTTTAATAAGATGAAAAAGTGAAAGGATAAAAAAAAAATATAGATGTATATTTTATCATTTTATATGAAAATAATGTATACATAATATGTAATAGATAACTATGATATATACATATATTAAAAGAAATATGGGTAAATAATACAACATAATTAATTTTCTAACCACTTTTCTTCCTAATTTTAGAATTATTAATTTTGATGATTTGAAAGGAAAGTTAATCCATTTATTTTTTTTTCTTTCCTATTTTTCTTACTTACCAAACATGATATTTTATTTTATCTATCTCTCAAATTTTCTATTCTTTCAACTATATATTCTTCCATATTTCCATGAACCAAACAAATCATGAATAAAGATCTCGTGTGGAATGCATATCTACCCAAAATAGGCATCGCTCGTGCATTTTTGCACGGTTTTAGCAGGAGGGTCAAACAACAAACCTTCACATCAATGGTATGTTAGATGAATGTCATGCGGAAGACAATGTTTTGAGGGACAAGATTTGCCCTAGACAACCCGAATAGTTAATGCCACGGTTATCTATTGCATATTCCTACCAATACCACCTTCCCATCAATTTACTGCAACTGTCTCTTAGATGATTGCCGCCCAGAAAATTCTATCTGAAGGGACAACATATTCACCATTCAACCAAATAATCTGACCATGCTTAACACTTCCCACAGATGGGATCAAAAGAAGGATGTAAACTATCGTAATTGGACACTTGATTTTGTCTTCAATTTTTCCTTTGAATCTTATTCAATGTCCAAGAGAGATATGCCACCAGTTTGCCATATCAAACCTAACTTCATCTCCAAAAATTTTGCTGCAACTCACGGAATAATTGTGTCACTGGATGACATACGTTTACACAATCTCTTATTCTTAGCATATACTGCTTGCCAACTGTTTGATCAATTGTCTCAATGGTTTAAATGCGTGTTTTATCTGGAATTCAAGCTTATAGCGTTGGAAAGTGTTAGCCGTGGATTAACTATTCAGGTTGTTTAGGGTAAATCTTGTCCCTCAAAACAAAGTCTTCCGCATGACATTCATCTAACATACCATTGATGTGAAGGATGCATAAAATTCCTTAATTTACAGCGGTTCTACTCCAGCTGTAAATTACCACAAGGAACAGATACATATATAAAAATAATCCCACCTCAATTTCATCGATGATGGATCACCAACCATTGAATTAATGAGGACTCACTTGGAATGTCACCTAAATTTTGATAGCAAGTGATCCATCAGTGAAAGTAGTTAAGAGGATATTTTGGAGACAATCTCATTCACACAAGCGATGACTTAACTAAATAAAAATTCCGTAATCAACAAAACAAAGGAACCCCCCCCCCCCCCCCCCACAAAAAAAAAAAANAAAAAAAAAAACAAAAAAACAAAAAAAAAAACACACAAACAAAAAAAACTGGTACCTACTAATGTTCATGTTATATATAGTAATGCACTTGGTATCAAAGTGAAAATACACTAAAAAAAACCAAAGATGTATCCAATTCATGTAATGCTACGCACAAAATTTGAGGTAAATGACATGAAACCATTATATTCTGAAAAATGAAATGCTAGTATTTGCCCAAAAAAGACCCAGGAAGAGAAAAAAAAAAAGTGGGGGGGGCCTACCGAAATAACAGAAATTGTTGTATACAATACAAGCTTCACATATTTACAGTAATTACGAAAAGGAATGTACATTTGGGGCTGTAGGAAAAAGGAAGCAATCAAGTTCCCAACCTCTTAACACCACATTCTGAGCAGAACTTGGAGGTCTCTCTCAAATAGGGAGCTCCACATTCGTCACAGAACTTTGCAGGACTTGCTGGCTGAAGAGGAACAATTAACAGAAGGTTATTACAATATAAAGGGGGGTAGCAAAAACAATACCAAGAACAAACAAGACCATGCTCTTAACGCGAACTAATAATGGGTCTGTGTAGCTTTCCAAAAATCAAGGAGACAATGAGATATCACATGGAGGTAAAATGTATTAAACCCTAAAACGAATGCTATAAAAATCATCCTATATGTTCCGCACACCCCACAAATCAGTACAGAAAACAATACAAATGCAACTGATAAAAGCTTAGTATAAGACCCAGAAAAAGGTGAATTGATGATATTTTGTTAAAAAAAATATCAAAAAATTTTAACAGCAATTCAACGACTAATAAAAACAAGTCAATATCATCCTCCAGAGCATTCGGATATATAGTCCCCTTATGTAATATAAAGAATGGAAATCCTAATCAGCTTACAAATAAGCAAACCCACTTTTTCCACACTTCCCTATTATCTATCCTATAAGAAAAGTAGTAAACTCTCATGATTTGTTATCTTTCAATAGTGATTTCTGTAAACAACTTGCTAAAGTTACATTTTTCTAAGAGAGCAAATCGTGCAACACCAAGACTTCCACATATGATACCTTTATGGACTTCAAACTGAGGTCTTCCCATAGTAGGATAGAATAAATAAGAGAAAATCAGTAACACAAACGGTTGTTATGTCAAAAATAACAAGACACCCTTTTAAATTTCTAAAATATCACTGCCATCCCTTCAAATTTATAAATCCGATTTAGGTAATATCCCTACCATTGAGGTCGTACACCATATAAAATTATTAATTGTTGGAATTATATAGACTAGTTATTAGTTTTTCTTTTTTTGCCCTTTGATTTTTATGTTTTACGTAGACCAGAGGAGTGTTCTAGTCAGTTGTACTCTTATTTGGCTATATATATAGGGCTCTTTACTCAGTTTGTGTATCCTTTCTCTCAAACAATTCTAATTGGTATCAAAGCCAAACCCAAACCTTCCCTAACCCTAACCGCCAAACCTAGTGTAGCCTACCCTAACCACATCACCCAACCCTAGCCACCAACCACCCATTCCTCTGCGCCATCGCGCTACCACCTCTCTCCGAGACAGCAAGCACTGCTGGCTCCTTTTTTTCCTAGGAACAGATTATCCTAGGGACCTTTAGAGAGGTCGGATCCCCTACGTTGGTCCACTATTGATGCAATAGATTACCTATATATTTTCTAGATTTCTTGGCACCATGACCTGTTATTTGGAAGCTTTTTAAACCTTTTTTTTGTCGCTGTTGTTCGACCAGAAGTATACTGCTCTCCCTTATTTTTCCTCTATTTATCTTAGAGTAGTTTCTGTCACAGTTGCCACATTATTATTGTTGCTATGACCACTAGTGAGGGACTTGAGACCCTTACCATTAGTACTTTCACTTGAGATGTGCCTTCCACTTCTATAGAGATTACCCCTCCCACCTTTATGTTTCACCAGTATACAGTACCTACCGACACAATTGTATTACCAACAATGTCGGGTATGATCTCTCAGAAGGTTATGACATAGTTAATGAATGGTCGTAACTTTGCTGAGTGGTTATGCTCAATTCAACTTTTCTTAGGGTATGTTAGGAAGCTTGGTTGGCTGACAGGATTGCACCCAAAGCTAGCTGACGACCATGGATATTCTATGTGGTTCTCTGAGAACTGCGCTATTCTTGAATAGTTATTTGGCTCTACGGAGCCATCTTTTTGCAAGATTCATCAGTTTCATAGCTCTCTTATGAAGCTATGGAGCGTATTATCAGAGATGTATTCATAGTCAGGTCGTGGAGTTCGTGTTTATGAGCTTTCTCAAGAGCTCTCATATACCCGACAAGGAGATATGACAATTCTGGATTACTATAGCTATTTGACTCAACTCTAGCTTGAGTATGAGACCCTATGTCCTCTTACTGCTATTTCAAGAATAGAGCCCGAGGGAACAACATTTTTGCATACTCGAGAGCAGGAGGATAGGACTCATAAGTTCCTTATAGGACTTCATGATGAATTTGAGGGACCTTGTTCCCAGATCTTAATGACTCATTATGCCAAAAATAAAAAGCTACTACATCATCTTAATCTTTTTAAAATGATTGCAAAAAATAATAATGACTCCTATTATGCCTCACAAAAATAATACTTGTTTTCCCAAAAAGAAAATACACTTGCTTGTCTAGGAATTATCTATCCTTTGGCAATTTCAATCTATCTAGGTTTTTCCTTTATCCTTTCATTTTGTTGTTTGAGATGTTTCTCCGTTCCTTTCGATAGGAATAGTTATAGATCTTCATCGTTACATGTAGAAATTAAGAATTTCAATCTTTTTGCCTATCACATGTCCAAGTTTGTTGGTCATGTGTTCGGAAGTGTCCAAGAAGTGTTGGTGATGTACCTCTTAAAAGTGCTTGTACTTCTTAGGCCCCCCTACTTCTTATGGGAGAATCACACGGTTAGAAAGTGCCCATATTGCTTAGGACCACTTGCATCTTATGCATGAATCATGAAGCAGACTTTTGGAACCATGTTTATTTCAATTCTCCAGAGTCCAAAGTGTAAGCCATCAAATTGTCATGACCAAAGCATTATTTTCAGCTGTCAGCCTCAGTGGCAATGGTTAGTTGTTGGAATACAATAGCAAAAAAGGTGCGGGAGACTATTCTCAGAAGTAAAAATAAAAAATAAAACAAAAAATAAAAACAATTCAACCCAGAAAAGTCTCACCAGAACATGCAAACGCCCTCCAACATGACCAAGCTGTTGTAAGCAAGCCATGTGTTGGGGAATTGACGAAGACTGCTGGACATGTGCAATTTCAGACAAGTGTGATGGTGGCCCACACTGTTGGTGGTGAGAAAAGTGGGCTGCATGTTGGGTTTGATTAATGGGGTGTTGGTGGCACTGGTGCAGGGAATGAAACTGAGCCTGATGTGAGACCGTTTGCATATGCTGTTTTGATGAAGTCTGCTGCTGATTCTGTGACTGCCAAAACAAAGGACATGCATATTAATAATGGTGATTTTGCAATCAACATTGATAAAGTTTAGACAAAGAAAGGGACAGCAGAAAATGAAACTATGAAAGACAAAGGAATACAGGCATATTACGGCATAAAGTGACTGAGGTGAAAAAATGGAAAACAAAATAATACAGACATGTAACGTGGTTCACTCCTTAGACCAAAGTCCACGACACCCAAAAACCCAAAGAACTATGTTTTTATTATTCTCCCTCAACTATATACATAAGTTACACCTAAGATTTAGGTCTTCTTCGATACTTCCTAGTGATTGAGGGTGCTCAATCAAAGGAGAGTATCAATTTGTGCCAACAAAAGTATGTACTAGACTTACTATCTGAAACAAGTACCCTTGGTGCGCGTCTGATTGATATACCTACGGCTAAGCTAGATCCTGAGAGTGGTGAAGTCTTTGATGATATAGAGCGATATTGTTGGTTGTTTTATAAACTAATTTATCTTATAGTTACACGCTCTGATATTACATATGTCGTTGGTGTGGTCGATCAAGGCATGCATGCCCTTGGGAGGTTGTTTGTTGTATACTTCAGTATCTAAAAAGGGTTCCGAGGAAAGGATTATTATATTGCTTATGATCATCCATAACTGTTGGTTTTTTTGACAAGACGATATATCTCTGACTATTGTACATTTACTGGTGGTAATCTTATTACGTGGTGCAATAAGAAGCAAAATACGATTGCACAATCTAGTGCAGAGGCTATGGCACAAACTACTTCTGAGATGTTATAGGTCAGTTCTTTATTTCATAATATGGGGTTTGATGTGTCTTCTCCTATAAAGATGTCCAGTGAAAATCAAGCAGCTTATTTTCATTGCAAGTGATGATACCAAGAATAAATCATATGTCAGCTGAATCCAACATGAAAGATGAATGGACTAACCTAATCTTAGCCTAGCTGACCTGACCCATCAGGATCGTGGTCGACTAAGGCACGAACAAGCTTAGCAGTTATCAAATGAGCTCGGTAGTGCCTGAAGCAGCTTAATTCACATTAGGGAAAGGGCAAAAAAGGAACTACACCATCAAATCTTATCTTGGACATGAAGAATCCATCTCTAGAGTGCCACCCAAGAGTGTCTCTAACGGCTAAATATTTCCTCCAATATCCTAACAAACTAGGGGACCACACTACCCTAGAATACAAAGTGGCAGACTGGTAGGCCCTTCCCTTGCCCAAAGAATGGGCAATTGTATTTTCGAGTGTAACGATATTTTTTCCCAAGAAATACAAATCAAAAGAGCAAGAGTCTTCATTATANAGAACTGCGCTATTCTTGAATAGTTATTTGGCTCTACGGAGCCATCTTTTTGCAAGATTCATCAGTTTCATAGCTCTCTTATGAAGCTATGGAGCGTATTATCAGAGATGTATTCATAGTCAGGTCGTGGAGTTCGTGTTTATGAGCTTTCTCAAGAGCTCTCATATACCCGACAAGGAGATATGACAATTCTGGATTACTATAGCTATTTGACTCAACTCTAGCTTGAGTATGAGACCCTATGTCCTCTTACTGCTATTTCAAGAATAGAGCCCGAGGGAACAACATTTTTGCATACTCGAGAGCAGGAGGATAGGACTCATAAGTTCCTTATAGGACTNAGACCCTATGTCCTCTTACTGCTATTTCAAGAATAGAGCCCGAGGGAACAACATTTCTGCATACTCGAGAGCAGGAGGATAGGACTCATAAGTTCCTTATAGGACTTCATGATGAATTTGAGGGACCTTGTTCCCAGATCTTAATGACTCATTATGCCAAAAATAAAAAGCTACTACATCATCTTAATCTTTTTAAAATGATTGCAAAAAATAATAATGACTCCTATTATGCCTCACAAAAATAATACTTGTTTTCCCAAAAAGAAAATACACTTGCTTGTCTAGGAATTATCTATCCTTTGGCAATTTCAATCTATCTAGGTTTTTCCTTTATCCTTTCATTTTGTTGTTTGAGATGTTTCTCCGTTCCTTTCGATAGGAATAGTTATAGATCTTCATCGTTACATGTAGAAATTAAGAATTTCAATCTTTTTGCCTATCACATGTCCAAGTTTGTTGGTCATGTGTTCGGAAGTGTCCAAGAAGTGTTGGTGATGTACCTCTTAAAAGTGCTTGTACTTCTTAGGCCCCCCTACTTCTTATGGGAGAATCACACGGTTAGAAAGTGCCCATATTGCTTAGGACCACTTGCATCTTATGCATGAATCATGAAGCAGACTTTTGGAACCATGTTTATTTCAATTCTCCAGAGTCCAAAGTGTAAGCCATCAAATTGTCATGACCAAAGCATTATTTTCAGCTGTCAGCCTCAGTGGCAATGGTTAGTTGTTGGAATACAATAGCAAAAAAGGTGCGGGAGACTATTCTCAGAAGTAAAAATAAAAAATAAAACAAAAAATAAAAACAATTCAACCCAGAAAAGTCTCACCAGAACATGCAAACGCCCTCCAACATGACCAAGCTGTTGTAAGCAAGCCATGTGTTGGGGAATTGACGAAGACTGCTGGACATGTGCAATTTCAGACAAGTGTGATGGTGGCCCACACTGTTGGTGGTGAGAAAAGTGGGCTGCATGTTGGGTTTGATTAATGGGGTGTTGGTGGCACTGGTGCAGGGAATGAAACTGAGCCTGATGTGAGACCGTTTGCATATGCTGTTTTGATGAAGTCTGCTGCTGATTCTGTGACTGCCAAAACAAAGGACATGCATATTAATAATGGTGATTTTGCAATCAACATTGATAAAGTTTAGACAAAGAAAGGGACAGCAGAAAATGAAACTATGAAAGACAAAGGAATACAGGCATATTACGGCATAAAGTGACTGAGGTGAAAAAATGGAAAACAAAATAATACAGACATGTAACGTGGTTCACTCCTTAGACCAAAGTCCACGACACCCAAAAACCCAAAGAACTATGTTTTTATTATTCTCCCTCAACTATATACATAAGTTACACCTAAGATTTAGGTCTTCTTCGATACTTCCTAGTGATTGAGGGTGCTCAATCAAAGGAGAGTATCAATTTGTGCCAACAAAAGTATGTACTAGACTTACTATCTGAAACAAGTACCCTTGGTGCGCGTCTGATTGATATACCTACGGCTAAGCTAGATCCTGAGAGTGGTGAAGTCTTTGATGATATAGAGCGATATTGTTGGTTGTTTTATAAACTAATTTATCTTATAGTTACACGCTCTGATATTACATATGTCGTTGGTGTGGTCGATCAAGGCATGCATGCCCTTGGGAGGTTGTTTGTTGTATACTTCAGTATCTAAAAAGGGTTCCGAGGAAAGGATTATTATATTGCTTATGATCATCCATAACTGTTGGTTTTTTTGACAAGACGATATATCTCTGACTATTGTACATTTACTGGTGGTAATCTTATTACGTGGTGCAATAAGAAGCAAAATACGATTGCACAATCTAGTGCAGAGGCTATGGCACAAACTACTTCTGAGATGTTATAGGTCAGTTCTTTATTTCATAATATGGGGTTTGATGTGTCTTCTCCTATAAAGATGTCCAGTGAAAATCAAGCAGCTTATTTTCATTGCAAGTGATGATACCAAGAATAAATCATATGTCAGCTGAATCCAACATGAAAGATGAATGGACTAACCTAATCTTAGCCTAGCTGACCTGACCCATCAGGNTAAAATAAACTAATGGACTATAGACCCATAAACTATGGGTTGAGTTGCCCACATGGACTGGACCATAAACCTATAAATCTATATAATAAAATAATTTTTGTTATTCGCAATTGAGATTGTTTTAAATTTTACTTTAAAATTAATTTGACGGGTAATATTAAAACTGTAAATTTAATAGGAAAAAATAGGTTCTTAAAGATGTGTTTGACTTAATTTTTTAAAAGTGTTTCTAAGAATTATTTTTTATAAATGCTAAAAAAAAAAAAAATTGTTTTGAACCTCTTCACCACTGCCACAACCATTACCACTGTCGTCGTTGCCACTATCACCGCCACCCCCCACCATCGTCACCTCCACCTCCACCATCACCACCACCACCACCACCTCTGCCATTGTCATCGTTGCCACCACCATCGCCACCTCCACCTCCACCTCCACCTCCACTTCCACCGCCACCCCTATTGTTGTCACCACAACCATCACCATCACTGTTATCGTCGTCGTCATCGCCACCACCACTACTGCCACCCCCATCACTTCCACCACGACCGCCATCTCCACCTCCACCTTCACCGCCACCACCACCGCTGTTGCCGCCACCACCGCCACCGCCACCACAATTATTACTGTCTCCTACCACAACTACTATCGTCCACTATCTTTCGTCCTCATTACAAATCGATGTTTAAATTCTTTTATCCTCTTTATGTTTGAGATTTAATTTTAAATATGAATACAAATATATTTATTATTTATTATTTTTTATTACTATGTGCCTTTAAGCACAGACAATAACTAGTTCTTTGATAAGATAGCATTTCACTTGATTACACACNGTGCGCGTCTGATTGATATACCTACGGCTAAGCTAGATCCTGAGAGTGGTGAAGTCTTTGATGATATAGAGCGATATTGTTGGTTGTTTTATAAACTAATTTATCTTATAGTTACACGCTCTGATATTACATATGTCGTTGGTGTGGTCGATCAAGGCATGCATGCCCTTGGGAGGTTGTTTGTTGTATACTTCAGTATCTAAAAAGGGTTCCGAGGAAAGGATTATTATATTGCTTATGATCATCCATAACTGTTGGTTTTTTTGACAAGACGATATATCTCTGACTATTGTACATTTACTGGTGGTAATCTTATTACGTGGTGCAATAAGAAGCAAAATACGATTGCACAATCTAGTGCAGAGGCTATGGCACAAACTACTTCTGAGATGTTATAGGTCAGTTCTTTATTTCATAATATGGGGTTTGATGTGTCTTCTCCTATAAAGATGTCCAGTGAAAATCAAGCAGCTTATTTTCATTGCAAGTGATGATACCAAGAATAAATCATATGTCAGCCGAATCCAACATGAAAGATGAATGGACTAACCTAATCTTAGCCTAGCTGACCTGACCCATCAGGATCGTGGTCGACTAAGGCACGAACAAGCTTAGCAGTTATCAAATGAGCTCGGTAGTGCCTGAAGCAGCTTAATTCACATTAGGGAAAGGGCAAAAAAGGAACTACACCATCAAATCTTATCTTGGACATGAAGAATCCATCTCTAGAGTGCCACCCAAGAGTGTCTCTAACGGCTAAATATTTCCTCCAATATCCTAACAAACTAGGGGACCACACTACCCTAGAATACAAAGTGGCAGACTGGTAGGCCCTTCCCTTGCCCAAAGAATGGGCAATTGTATTTTCGAGTGTAACGATATTTTTTCCCAAGAAATACAAATCAAAAGAGCAAGAGTCTTCATTATAGTGGACTAACCTAACCTTTTAGCTTGGTGAATCACACACACACACACACACACACATAGCTCATCCACTTCAAACAGAGCTCACACAGCTCGTTTCACTCACACTTCTTAGTTTTATACACTATCAACAAGTAATCCGATATTTCATAAGTATACCAAACATATTGAGATGGATTATCATTTTATTCAAGATCTCTTGATGCAAAAGGTGATCCTCACTCCTTATATCAAGTCTGATGATCAACTAAGTGATATTCTCACTAAGACATTGGCTCGGTCTGTCTTTGGTAGTTTATGTTCCAAGTTGGACATTTTTTATCTTTATACTATAACTTGAGGGAGAGTGTTAAGAGTTCTTATTTTATATATTAGATGTAAGATAATTAGTTTAGGGTAATATTATAATTACTAATATTATTTATCTGCCTCCTCTCTTCTTTTCTCTATTTCTTAGAACCCTAATATTGCTTTTACTAATTCAACTATTATAGTTGCACACTTACTGGAAAACTCAGTAACAATAGTCCACCCCACCAACTAGTTCTTGTTGCGTAGCAAAAATTGTAAAGTACAAAACAATTAGTCATAAGTTCAGAGTCATTGTTATTTGAATTCTATGATTGTACATTTTGAATTCAAATAATATAATAAGCCTAATTATGGCTCGTTTAAGTCCTATGCGGGGCTGACCCTATGGCTAGAATGCTAAAGGCCTATAAGCGACTGCTTGGCAAACAGGTTGTGGGCCACCTCTATTGCCATGGGTGACCCAGGCCACTGACTGGTGGGCCGATTCGACCCTGTCAGCTGATGACCCTTACTTTTATTTTTTGGGTATGCTTAATTTTATTTTTTGGGTATGGGCATATGATATTAGGTCCTAGTATATCTAGCCACTTTGAAAGTCTTATGTCTTTAGTCAAGACTTGGGTTTAGTTAATTAGCCGCCATTTTACCACTTTTCTAGATGTTGAAGTTTCCAACTAGTATTTTCCTTCTGTTTCTTGGTTTCTCTCTTATTTGGGTTCATTTGAAGCCCATAGCCAGTTGTGTCGACTATCGAGCCTCACCAGGCTGGAATTCACAGGTTTGTAACCTACCATTGCAGGAAATTGCAGATTCTGGCCTTATTTTCCTGGATATATATATATTTGCAAAAAACCAAATCTGCAACAATTCGACCCGATTAAGAGGTTGGTTGGGTACCACACTGTGTCTACAAATAGTCTTTTTTTGGGTAAGTCACAAATAGTCCTTTTTCCGGTAAGTCACAAATAGTCCTTGTGATGTCCAAAATTGATCCTAATTCCATGGGAACAATAGGTGAATCCAAACATTTGCCACACTTTCTGGATGACCAAATACAGAGGATTTGTTGAATCCCTCCTAAAAAAAGTTAAGGTTTTTTGGGGTTCTGCATACATGGCAATTCTTTGGTGTATTTGATTATAGATGACTGCACGAATTTTTCATAATCATTCTCTTTCTTTAGACTTTGTCTTGGAAAGAGTTGTGTTATTTGCTTCTTTACAAACCATATCTACTGGCATTTTCAGAAGGGTGCCTTTGTTGAATTTCCAACAAGATCAGAAGAAGGTTCTCTTTTGTCTTTTGTTTTCTTTTATTTGTATTTTATTTTGGGTTTTCTCCTTTCGAGAATATTTTGTACTGTAAATTGCAACTCTAATTTCCCTTTCCTTAATAATATTCTTACTTTAATCAAGCGGAGAAAAAAAAAAGGATTAGAGAGGTTAAAATATTTCTCATCACTAACATGCGGCAACATAGACGGCCAGTATGTTAATTGAGCTGCTCAAGCTTAGCTCCATTTTGAGCTAAAAAAAAGGCTTCTTCAAGCTCATCCTGAAACCTAAATGCCATGCTCAAGCATCATACATAAGCTACCAGTTAAATGAGCTGAGCTTAATCAAGCACTGGTGCACCACATTAGGCTCATAAACACTGGTCCTACGGCAACTAGAGCAATTTCAAAGAGTAGTCTTAACAAAATAAACTCCAAAAATACCTTCCGAAAAAAAAAAAAAAACCACCAATTCAACAGTAAAAGAGTTTGGTGTGGCATTATATCACTTCAAAAATTTAACTAGTAGGAGACAATGGAAGATCCAGCGGGCCGCAGATTTTAGAAAGTTGAAATAGAACATGTCTCTTTTCTCTCTTATGTGTGCGAGTACTCTATTAGATATGTTTTCCAAAGGAAAAGTGATGACTGAATGTGTTTTTGACCAATTAAAGTATTACTGAATGTGTTTTTGACCAATTAGTTGTACCAAAACAAGCAGCTTGCCTGCCATCCTGAAAGCCACGTTGTAGATGCTAGCTCAAACACAAATTTACTCGACAACACAGAGCCCGAAAAAAGTTATCTAGAGCTTCATTTGCAAAGTCAAAACACTGGCAAATTAAATGATGAAGACTAAACAAAAAAAGCATCATGAGTGCTTACATGCACAGTTGACATCGAAGACTATGCAGCAGTGACATTAACATGAAAGGGTGTAGGATGTTGATTAGAGAATAAAACTAGATTCCAACAATAAGACTTTTTTTCCAAAAACATGAATCAAATTGAATTTGATGGAAGCTCTCTTGAAAACCCGAGTCAGTTAGGAATGGAAGGTATTCTAAAAAATTTCCAAGGAAATAAAATATTCCCATATTCTCATAAGGCCAGATTCAATCTTGCATCATCTTCCATTCAATCTTGATAGGGAGCTTTTCAAGAACTGGATTCAGGTTATACCATGAAAGCAAAGATTTGAAAAAAAAAGCAAGGTCTTGACCACTCCTCCACTACCAATTTGTCACCGGAGATATTGGATTTATAATCTTCCTCTCAAGCAGTTATTTCATGGATTCAAGAAAGGGTTTCACTTAAGAAGTAATTTTGCCACCTCAAAAGGCGTTGTTTTGGTAGTTGGGAGCTGCTTTGTGAAAAATTGTTTCTCCCCTGCAGACTCTGATCCTTACACCCTTGTACTTCTCTCATTCTCTCTCTCTAATTAAGTTCTTCTTTCTTACTCGAAAAACAAGAAAACAATGACACTATTTCCTATCATGAAAAGTCATGGTTTTAAGCTACAGTCCTTCCTACAGCCAACTGGCACGGTAACATGAGTGAATACTTCTCACCGTTCACCATCTACATCTTTATCATTCAAAGGCTCACCGCCATATTTGCCAGCAATCAACAACCTGAGCTCAATAAGACACACAGGACCAACCAATGGGACTAAAGTAGCATTCAAGAAATTACGGAAAAGGGCTCATCAAAATGATGTCATAATTCTTATATTTAAAAACTTCCAAAGATTGCGCCAAGATCTGGTAGGTTATCTTATTATCTCTTTAGTTACTTGTTCTGCTTATTTTATTGAACAAATGGGACTGCCAAAAACCGGCAGACCCAACACACAGCTCCTACAATTTCATTGAATTTTATACTTCGATAAAAATTAGTGATCCCACCCCAATCACCCAATTACTAAGTTATAAAAATGAACAACTGCAACACTAGAGGTCTTGCTGGTGCTAAAACATAGACCAAAAAATGCAGTTAATTAGTTGAATGCATGTGAACCTACCACTAAAATGCATCACTGACATGGTTTCTTTTATGAACATCAGTTAAATGGCATCAATTTTCCACCATTAAACTATCGACCCCCAAACATATGAAAATCATTCCACAGACCAGATAATTGAAAATCTGTAGAAAAGCATTTATGCCCATTTGCCAAAAGAACAAAATGTGATGAGAAAAGCTTACCTCACTGAGTGAGAGGTAGCCTTGAGCAGTTGCCATTGGAGAAGAATTATCTGTGCTAGAGAATGTCTGAAAACATATAACGAAAGTATGACTTATTAGCGTCACTATTAACTGCAACAATGCTGAATAATCAGCACTTTGGCAAAAACAGAATCAAAGCTTACTGGCAAACCAGGGATGTTGGAAACAGAATTCGACGAAACACGCCTGCACTTGTGTCTTGGAGCATAAAACTTGTAGTCACGATCAGTAATAGCTACTTCATTTCGACCCGTCAATCTTTTGAACCTACATGAATGAGTATGTTAATTGCTTCAAAAAATTTTGCTGCCAACTTACATTCAAGTACTAATACCTCAGTCTTTCTGCATTTTCAGTAGGGAAAAAAAACTAATGTGCAATGCTGAAAATAATTTAAAAACATGATCAATTTCTTACTGTCGAGTATATCACAGTATTAACAGTATATATATGAGGAAATAATGTCACAGGATGTTGCAACAATTCATAGACAATTAAGAACTGATAGTGGTCCCTTGAGGTGCTTTCTCATCTACTAAAAAAAATGACAGCACAACATCTTGGGAATATAAGCACAACCAGTGCACCCACTAGAATACATGAGAAGTGAAACAGAAATGCCTTTGCACGGACAAAAGAAAGTCTGAACAGAAAACAATGCACAAGGGAAACCAAATGGGCTGATTGTCAGATGAGGCAAACATAAACCCATAAGCAAGAGAACGATAATCTACAAGCAGAAGTCAGCGAAAATATGATAGTATCATAGGAGAGGAAATTGTCATTTGCAAAGAAATCAGATAAGCTCCACAGACTCAGAAAATTAACTAATGCTGGTTTAGTGCAGCTTAAAACATTGAACAATTGTAAATGGATTGTATTTATCTAAGGACTGGATGGTATTTTGGTTTAGGGGGTTTTCTAAAAAATTGATTTCTACACTTATACAGGTGGCCAGAGTATCCACACTCCAATGCTCAATGAGTTAATGTTTAAACCAGATCTCACTTTTTTATCATAAAATATAATTTCTTTTCCAGTTGTACAAAACCTCACAAATAGAATTTTGATCCTGTGGGAAGAATGAATATCCCACATGGAAGTTGTTAGAAATGGCCTTGAGAACAAGACCTAGATGCAGACATTAAATCAAATGTACAAAAATTGTGCAATAGAGGAATTCAAGGCCTAATTGTAGGGCTATATTCTTTCACCATATGAGTTTCTATTATTTTTATAGTAAACGGAATTGTACTGTGAATAGCAAAGTGCCAATGGTAAAAAGTACATGAGAGAACAAGGAGTCCTCTACATGACACAAAGAGCAAAAAGAAAATAACCAAAAAAAACCTAGGAAGAAAACTTAACAAAAATCTAGGTATAAAATGCTACCATGCATCAACAGTCTTCGCACCTTGAGCCAAATAATCTTTAATCAAAAACAACGGTATCCCTTCAAAATCCTTTGACTTTATCCTAGAACTCTTCCAATGAAACTTCTTGTCCTAAAAAATCCTCTAATTTCTGTCCAACAAAATAGCCAAAAACAATACCCACACCACACATTTTCACAAGATCTTGGCTTTATTGCTGAAATCAAAACCTTTTTTATGTTATATGTCATTTCTTGACTATATATAAAAGCTGGGTGTAGTTATGTAACCCTAACACACTACTCTCTTCTTACATTATTCTTTTCTCCCCTTTATTCTTCTTTTGTCTCTAAACCCTAATAACTTCACAGCCTAACTTGGTATCACATCCTCGATCAAAATCTATAATCTCAACGTTGTCAGAATTTGTTGGAAATCCTCTCCCGTAGCTAGCAGTGGCTGTTGTCAGGTTCTAGCGTGCATCTAACATACTCAACACCGAACATGTTAGAAAAAATTGAAACAAGAATGAATAGTTTCAACTGGATCTCCTAAGAATTATGGTTATTTTTTTGGATTTTTTGAAGCCATTTGATTGGTGTTTCAAGTTTTTGAAGATCTTAGGGGATTGTTGGCTACTATGTTCTGATCTGCGAGTTTCACGCCATCCAATTGTTGTTTTTGGATCAATACTTCAATCTAAGGTGCAACTGGAGGTAGTCTACAACGCCATACAAATTTTTTGCATTTGGATTGGATTTGTGAAGTTTTTTGGCCAAATTTGAGGGTCAACATCAATGTTCTTCATACCTGGCTACTGTTGGCACTTACAACCTCCTTTGGTTCTGCTAGGACTTGTTCTTACTTCATTGTTATCAAAAGGTATTTGGCTACTGTTTGAAGTATCTTCTTGTTGTGACCATTTTTGTGTTTTTTTATGACTTTTAGCGAAATATGGTTGCTTTGCTGCTTGTGATTGGTTGATGCTATTGTGTGGACATGTTGGAAGGAAGTGTGACTCTACCAATACTGTAGTACGTATAGAGGAAGTGGGTTGAACCATTTGGGTGCTCTTGTAAATAATCCCTCTCTTCAAATTAGTCCCGAATAATTGGATAGAAACAATTATTTGGCATGGTTACAGGATTGTTTGCTATCGGTCCGGGCCATCTATTTGGATAGGTATTTGCGGGAGAGACTAAGAAGCCGAGTTAGACCGGTTCCCCACTGAAGCAATGGACATTTGAAAATGCTTTGGTCATGTCTTAGTCGCTTATTTCAATGCAACACTCTATCAATCGTGATTTTTTGTTACTTGATACAACCCATAAGTTTTGGACTGTTGTGACGCATACATATTCTGAAAGGAGCTCATACATATTCTCAAAGGAGTAGTGATACTAAGGCATATAACATTCAAAAGAAGGTTCGGGACACTAATAAGAAGGATAAGTGCCTTGCAGTTTATTATGTAGAGTCGACTACCTTGTGGCAAGAGCTTGACTAGTACCAAAGTTTTTAAGCAGATTGTGTTAATGATGTAAAATTTCATAAATGGTGGAGAAGGAATGAGTGTATAACTTTCTAACTGGTCTTAATATTGAGTATGATCAAATTCGGATTCAAATTTTGAGCGGTAACTCTTCTCCTATNTTTAAGCAGATTGTGTTAATGATGTAAAATTTCATAAATGGTGGAGAAGGAATGAGCGCATAACTTTCTAACTGGTCTTAATATTGAGTATGATCAAATTCGGATTCAAATTTTGAGCGGTAACTCTTCTCCTATTTTTACAAGAGGCCTATATCCATGTTCAGCAAGAGGAGAGCCGGAGGATTGCTATGGTTTATGCTCTTACTCAAGAACAGTCTACAGTGGTTGTTATCTCTTAGCGTGATTTGAGTATAGTCTTACCCAAGTCTACTAAGATGAGTGCCAATGTTGGTAAGGATATCTTAAAATATGATTATTGTGGTAACCAGACATACTCAGGAGTTTTGTTGGAAGTTGACAAGATGTCCTACTCGTGGTTGAGGTGATGATGTGCAATCTCATGCACACATGATTGAATCCTTAGGGACTCTATCTTAGTCTACTTCCTCTAATTTCTATCAAGATGAAATGCAGACTCTTAAGTGTTTGATGGCTCGGCTTGATGCTCCTCTACTACTAGTAATTATGCTTCTTCTTCCAACTTTGCTCATACAGGTATATCTGCTAGTGTGTTTACTACATCATCCTCATATATTCTTTGGATAATAGATTTTAGAGTCGCAGATCATATGACGGGTTCTTCTAGTATTTTCTCTTCATATTCTACAAATTCTAGTAGGGATAAAGTCAAGGTGGGAGATGAATCTTTATTCTTTATTTTCGAGAAAGGTCCAATTAATTTTTTCATCCTCTTTATCCCTCTCATTGGTTCTTCATATTCCAAATTTCTCCACCAATTTATTATCTGTTAATACTATTACAAAATCCTTGAATTGTTCAGAGACTTTTTTTCTACGCATTGTACCTTTCACAAATTAGAATCGAGGAAAACGACTGATAGTGGTAAAGCACATGGTGGTTCGTATCTACTAGATAATTAAGCTCCTCCTCACTTTTCCTATCAAATTCTTCATGCGGATGGTGTTTCGGCCATTTAGAACTTACGTCAGCGACATAGATATTTGGAACACCCCTCATTTAGTGTCTTAGAGCATATTTTTCCTAGTCTAATAAAATAGTGTAGTAGATAATTTTTTATTTACGATGCTTGTGAATTTGTCAAGCATAAACGTTCATCTTAACGGCTCCCTTTGTCAGTATTCATTCTAATGGATGGGGCTCTTCTCGTGTTGTGTCTATTTCGGGTTATCGTTGGTTTTTTACTTTTATTAACTATTACTCTTGTCTTACTTGAGTTTACCTATTGTGCAGTAAAAGTGAAGTTTTCTCGTATTTTAGATCTTTTCATAATCTAGTGAGTACCAAGTATGATGTTAAAATCAAAATCCTTCAAAGTGATAATGGAACTGAGTATATTGATGAAAAATTTCATTCTTACCTCAATGAGAACAACATTCTGTATAAAACTGCTTGTGTGAGTACACCTAAACAAAATGGTGTAGCTGAGCGAAAAAATCATCTTCTTGAGGTTGCACATTCATTGATTTTGTATTATGAATGTTTCTCAATCTTTTTGGCAAAATGTAGCTCTTACTGCCACTTATCTTATTAATCGTCTACATTCGAGCATCCTTCAGTTCAAGTCACCTACTAAATGTCTCTTTGATTCTCTTCTCATTCCTTCTATTTCTTCTCTTTCTCCTAAAATTTTCAGGTGTNTCTTACTGCCACTTATCTTATTAATCGTCTACATTCGAGCATCCTTCAGTTCAAGTTACCTACTAAATGTCTCTTTGATTCTCTTCTCATTCCTTCTATTTCTTCTCTTTCTCCTAAAATTTTCAGGTTTGTTTGTTTTATACATGATTACAAAACAAACCCTTTAGGGAGAAATTTGACCCTAGAGATATACAATTTGTCTTTTTTGGTCATTCTACCACCCAAAAAGGATATAAATGCTATCATCTATAGTCTCGGAAAATGTATGTTAGCATGGATGTTACCTTTCGTGAATTTGAGTCTTTTTCTCCGATAACCAGGCATCTCTTTAGGGGGAGAATGCCACTACAGATGAAAAGATGTTTTGTTAGGAGCCTCTGCATCAATTGCCAATTCAATGGAATGTTAGTAAGGAGGAGCAACAACTTATCAAAGAAGGAGGTGATATCAGTGATTCACATAGTTGTGCTTACCTTAATAAGGATAAACTGAAGACTTGTTCTAGGGGTCAAAAGGTATAGATTACCCATGTACTGCCAAATTAGTTGAATTCCCCAACTC